TTGTTGGGCTTATGTATCAGGAGACATAGCCCCACTCTTTTCGGCAGATGACCAACCACTGTAAATTAAACCAATCTGAATTCTAATCTCAATGTTCTTTTCTGCTCTATTTAGGCCCGCATCTCTCTGTCCTGTTTCTGTCTAAACAGAAGCCCATGTGCTTCTGATTTACATCTGACCCAAAGTCCACAAATTACTACGGCGAGATTTTTGTTTTTAATTATGTATTAGATATTTTTATAATTATACATTTTGTGGCTCATCGTTCTTCTCTGTGTTCATACTACAACTGGAAACACTTTTTTTTTTTTTTAATGAGAGAGTTGATTAGTATTTTCTTCATTAATTTGCTAATCAAAACCAAATTGGTTTATACGTAGATTTCTCCCAAAAAATTTTCTGCGGAAACAACTAATAGAACCATGTGTAATGACAATAGATAGTCATGAAAAAGTAAACAGTCCCTATTCATTTGGTGTTAGAAAAGAAAAGTGTAATTGTGTAGCGGATTTGTTAGCTAGCTTTGATTTTCTATTTTGCATTCTCAACTTTTTCAAATACTGGTACTCTATCTTGTATCTTTACTTCATGTTTTTTCGATTTATTCATAAAAATAAAGAGAAAAGAAAAAAGAGTTCATTATTTATTATAAAAAAATTGATTCCATCATGATAAATCACGTGAAAGCGAATTTTCATGAGAAATATTCGATAACTCGCTCAAAAAAAAAAAAAAACATAGCACGATAAGAAATTCAACTTCTCAATAAACTCTATCATGACCTGCCGTGTAAAGTTACAACAACGAAGAGGTTGCTTGTCTCTCCTAGTTATTATTGCCTTGACTCGACGGATCAAATAGCGGCGAATCAAGCTGTGTACTAGACTAGACAATTAGTACATAATTAATTAAGAGATGGAGCACAGAGGAAACATCAGTTCTTCATCAACAAATACCGCAGTTAGACTCAGAACATGGGACAGTGGAAATGAGGATTGGAGTAACTTCAGATATGACCAATCATGGCCTAGGCATTGGAATAAGTATGAGACAAGGTGATCAAGGATTCCACCGAGGTTGGGCGATACGGGCTAGAAGTTCAGGATCAAACCTAGTGGATGAAGCAATTGCACTTAAATTGGCAATGTGTAAGGCTGCCGCAGAGCTACTAACGGAAGTGTTATTCCAAGTGCAAAGTCCTCAACTCCTCAACTATATCCGCACAAACAGAGTGAGTGACATTCGACTAGCTACTGTGGTTGATGACATTATTCAACTAAGAGATTTGTTTCATATGTGCTCCTTTTGCCATAGTTAGAAATGATAAGACTCAACTAAGCTCCAAGCTTAGCATTCATGCCATAGGCATTATTTTGGATGAGGAACTCTGGTTTCCTTAGTGGTAAAATCGCCGCTTGTAAAGTTCAATCGAGCCTTTGCTCGCACTTGTAAATTTCTTGTCTAGTAATACAAGTACTTATCGTTTCGGAAAAAAAAAAATTAAGAGATCGAGAGTATATGGAGAATCTCTAGAGGTTGCTTTAAAGACAGGTGAAGACAACAATATATCTAATCTCAAATAATAGTAAACTACAATTAGCACGAATAGTCAATATATCAAGTAAAATGCTTCTAGAAGGTTTATTATTGTCTTAAAACAAGGTTGCCATTTTTTGGATAGGAGATTATATAAAATATTATTTAGAATAAATACTGTAGCATTTTTTGCAACGTGATGTATGTGGACGAAAAAGATGGTTAGAAAGATAAAAAGGTGCATTGAAAAATATATTTGTGACAGAAACCGATAATTTTTTGACAAATAATTTCTATTCAAACACACCCATTGCTTTTTTTTTTTGGTAACCCGGAACATGCCCCGACCCGAGCCCTTTGAACCCGAGCCGGCACACCAAACCGAAAGGAAGCTGATAGCCCCATACAGCTTTTTCGGACGAGTCAGGATGTGTAGCGCAGCAGGCACGAATCGAACCCCGATTAATGAAGAACCAGCAACTCAAGGCCGATACCTCAACCGCTTGCTTCCCTCGTTCTCCCTTCCCCTCTTTGACATCCCTCTTTTCAGATTAAAGTACGGAAGGCAGGCAATTAAACAAAACCATATACTCTAAAGAAATTTTACCCTTTTGTTCAAGTCAATTTCGATTCGAACAAGAGCTAAGCGATTTATCTCATTCATTTTTTTGCTATATAAATTCTAAATATATAATTACAGTTGTCAAACTATTTGAGTATCATATAGAGAGTCAATTTGATTGTTGGAATCTGGTTGGCAGATTTAGCATAGAATCTGAACATGAAAATATGCTCGAACTACTACTATTCTAGAGATGTTACTGGGCAAAGAGATTGAAATGCAAAATAAATCACTCTTGAAAATGACATAACAAATTTAAAGGTATCTAATAGCCAAAGCTATAAATTGGCCTGCTTGCATGCATACGACCACCGCTTTATTCTTGTTAAAATAATCAATTAAGTATTACTTACAAGTCTTAATAAGAAGAAGATTACATTTAGATTTTGACAACCATTACACTTTTAATTTAAGAGTAGACCTTTAAGACATCTGGTCTTTCAGAAGAGTTGACACTCATTGCTGATGTACAATGGTTAATATGATAGTCTATATTAAGAAGGGAAAGTAATGACATATATATATATATATATATATATATATATATGTATATGCAAATCGAAATATGAGTAGTACAAGTCCTAAAGTACAAGTTACAACAACTCTTTGACTGTAAAACACACACACACACATATATATATATATTAGTTCTTGGATGACATTTTAGTTGCATTGAAAAACTATCTTGATTCATGATGTCTTGTCTAATAGCCTCATCTGCTGTAGAAAAAGTGAAAATTTGTTTACTAGCACCAAGTCAAGCATATAATATATTCTTGCAAAGGTCATTCACAGTTGTTGGGTAAACAGCATCAGCAATTTTGTGGTTGTTTTTAGTTCCTTGTGGCTCGGCAGAAAGACATAAATGACTCAACTTCCTTCTTCGATTACCTTGCATGTATACTTGATCGGCTATATTTTTTTGATGATCCCAAGTTAATTAAGGTGATCGAGCCTGTAATATTGATTAATTAATTGGTTAGAAAATAATTCTAATTTACCACTTGCTTCCACATGTCGTCACATAGTTCTTGAGAACTAGTTGTTGCCTAAATACAAAACAGGCTTCTGCCTACTTTTGAATTTTGGCTTCCATAGGAGGGCACAGGCCTCTATACTCTGAATTGAAAGCATCCGAAAGCAATTAATTTAATGCCATATACTACCGGTATTAAATTAGGCAATAAATTTGCTAGTGCTACTATAGCTTAATGACTTAATCGGCTTAATTACGGAAATTAATGCAGAAGAGGTCAACAGGCACTACTCGAAGACAAGCCACAAAATCCAGGTGCGATGAGCACAAAGAAAATTAAGTGAAATCTATATACTATTTCTTCATGCATGCCTGTCCCTTTTTGTTTACCCATCTAAGGTTAAATTTCTATCTCAAAATTCCTGGGGTTAAATGCGTACCACAAGTTTTCTTGGGGAGACCTTTTTATAGATTTGTAGAAAATGCGCAAGGATAATAACTTCAGTATTTAATTAGTTGAATCCAACATTTAGTAATTTTCAGAGTTAACAGTCATTTTGTAGGTTCTTGAGTCAGTTTCTGGCTCTTGCATGATTCTGAGGAACTGGTGATCAACTGGTTCCCATGACTTCGTTGTTATTTATTTATTTTTTTGATTAACAACCAAGTTATGTCATTAAATCAATGAAAATGAAACGGTCAGCTTAATGAAATGCAGATGAATCGCAAGCTGCAATGTTCTGAAGGTCTTCTTTGTCAAAAAGAATATCATATGACATTCCACTCTTTCTATCCTAGAGAATTCCAATACAGGAAATGTTGATCAAAATTGGAGTGCTTAGAATGCATTTTGATAAACCTCCTCCATAAAAACACCATAAAATAAAAATACCAAACTGAAATTTTGGAGTGTTTGGCCTTCTCCAATCCTGTCATTCGTTGGCAATACCAAACTGAAATCAGAACGAAGAATAACTCCTGTTCATGATAAAGGGACACGAGGTTATGATGATAAGTGGTTCAAATATCTGCACCAAATAATGCAAAAGTTACAATGGAAGAAACCCATAAATCTAACTGCAATGCCAAACTACGATCAATTTTACACGGTAGTTAACTTTTTTATTTCTAAGTGTCCACAGTTCTTGAGCCGAATTTTGGAGCAAACCCCATGATGATGGTACATCATACAATGATAAGACCATCTGACTTTAACCTTATTATCAAACTTGATTTTCAAATTCATGGAAGAAATTAAAAAAAAGCCCACGAAAGTCCATCTAATCAAATAATTGGATTAGACCCATAATAATAAAATACTAAGAATCAAAAAGCTTCTCAAGATGATGTGAACTCACTGAATAGTTCACTCCTAGTAAAGTAACAGCTGGGCAGCATTAGAGTAGAAGCTGTTTTCTTTTGTTCCTTTTTTAGGAGCCAATGAAAACTATTATTAGTATAAAACAACAATCTTTACACGGCGGCTTAAAGTCCTCAAATACCACAAGATCCACTCTCGGTATACTTTCATCGGTCATTACAGTAGAAGCTTGTTCAGACAAGTATGTTTTGAGACCAAAATGCAAGCCCCGGTTGGTGCCAAGAACTCCTTTCCTAGTCAAAACGTACAGCAGACCTGATGTTTTGACCGACCAAAGTGTTGCCTCTGTTATATATTGTCACTAATCTTATCCTTACTCAAGGTTTATCTGGACGATTGCAGCTTCTTCTCCTTAATCTCCACAAGTCAAATAGACAAATAGTAGATTCAGGACGAGACAAAATTTAAAAGAAAACTATACTCTATGCTGCACTCAGAGCCGCCCGTTAAGTGTTAAAAATAAAATTTTCTAGATTTGTACTGTTAAATGGACGTGTATTTTTCCTTGCATGCATTACTTTATTTGAAGGGTGATCTTCGGATTCCTTTAAAAGCAAGTACCAAGTACAGACTTGTTAAACCTCAATAGTTTCCAGTTCTGCATTGTATCCATCGAGACAGTCTTCATGAGCTGATTCAGAAAAATTTTATTGGCAGCCATTCAGTCTAGAGTAGTGACCGATGACAAAGGTACATACATACTACATATACTGTCAATCTCTTGCCAGTAATTGGTTGTCATAGAAGTAATCTTTGTAGATGGAGCATCCAGTATATTATATCCTCTTTCTTGCTAGTGACGGGATTAACTTGTTCCCAAAAGGAAGATGTCAGTTTGATATTGAGATTTCATGGTATTTTAGTGCAAGGAGTGCTTGGGTAGGATAATAATCTGTTTTAACTTTTATTTCCTTTTTTTTTTTTTTGAATTTTCAGCATGATGTTAAGACAAGATTTGTTGCAGGATAATTAGGACTCTTTCGTTCTGTGGACCTGTATGACCTTTGAATTTTATCATGGAAATCGTACTTCATCAAAGATTGTCGTTATACTGCTGCCTATTGGTTTTCTAAATCTGTTCATCCATTTAACACCTTGGTCTCTCTCTCTTGTGAAGTTAACGCAGCTTGGTTTATTGTTTGATTAACACTCTGCAGGTATTACATAAGTGGAAACTCTTGTGAAGGTTATTGAAACTGCTGGAATGTTGTCTGAAAGTCGAGCACAAATACAAGCCTCAGAAGCCATCTCTTGTGCCTCAGTGAGATATGTATCAGAAAATCTACAGTTTTCCAGGATGAAGAACACAATTTTCCCTCAAGCTTCTTCTCAGCTCAATGGATACGGTAATAATTCAAGAACTCATTATGTAAAATCCACTAAAATGACATCAAATATGGGAAAAATTGACAGTATTCTTACCTTTGACAATTTCAGGATCCAACGAGTCCGTTTCTGATATCCCTCTACAAATAGACAGCAAATTGTACGTCACTGCTCTTCCGACTAACCTTTTCCCATTCTTGATTGTTCAGTTCGAGAAGTAATTGGTTCCTTTACTAGTTTTAGTCTAATTGAATCGAAACTTGACCTCTCGATATACAAATTTTTCCACTAGTAATTTCATACTTTCTCAACAGACATACATATGACAGCAACCTTTACACGGATTCAACTCCACATAACCAGCACGGAGTATTCACTATCTGCTCGCAGTCCCCTACTATCAACTATCAATCAGGTTCAATAAATCTCTCTTGTTCTCGCTGACAAATTCTATGATCAGGTTTTTCTAATCCGTTCTATAATTGTCATGCATTATTTTTCGCGACAACCATGGTTAGGTAGTCCTCAAGTCCTAACCACTCTCTAATGATTTATCTTTAATCTCATTTTCAGGGCCATCCCCATTAATGACCATCAAAAGTCTTGATTGCCCTCCTCTTGGAGCCAATCATTTCGGTACCAAGGCTACCATGCCTACCTACGACAGCAATATTGTTAAGCAGCAGCAATTGTCCCATGTTGAAGCGATTCCTGGACAACCAAATGAAATTGTATATGATTTATGATCCTGTCTTTAGTATTTGATTAATGATATCTGAAGTCATGTAACGAATCTTCCGAACGATGTCCAAACACAATAATTGAAGCAGGCGTGTCTTAATATTCGTCTTCACAATAGCTACTAATTCCAAGTTTAAATTTGGTCATTATATTTAATAGTTTTTTCTCCCTCATAGACCAAGTTGATTAACATATGAAATAGGATGATTGTGTATAGAAATCCGTCAGTTGATCGGGCCAAATGCTCCATGCTGATCAGTAATTGCGTGCAATCTCAAGTCAAACCTAGTGAATTGTGGTGGTTGTCAATGAGACAGAGCTGATGTAACTAATAAAGCATATTCATCACATATTAAAATCTGAGTTAAACTATTCAGAAGTTCTTGCTTCTTGCACCATTCACAGTTTTTTGTTGTTTTCCTATTTAATTTTCCTTATCCTTTTACTCCAGGGAACAATAAGAATTGCAAGGAAGCGTCCAATTGAAAATGCTGATATGACGAGCAGAAAAAGCCCTGAAACTATAGCAGGCAACAGACCACCCTTCCATACTGAATGGACGGCAAATAAGAAGATGGCAGTTTGTTTCCAAGATCATCAAGTCCCCAAGGAAGTTAAAGAAGTTCTGAAAGATAGAGTATGTGTACCTGCTTGGTTATGATAAATAATTTGTTATATATGCTGGATCATGTAAAAATTTGGAGTGATCCCTTGGTTGGATTTCTTTTCTTTTCTGTATTTCCGCCCTTAATTTTGACACATCTGCTGTACTTAAGGCATGCATCCGGAATTAATTAGAGTAGAATGCAGCATTAATTGGTGTGAACCAGTCTATTAGGTTAACACTAAAGCCATCAACCAGGAGCAAGAGAGCATTAAAAATTGGGATTAATAAGTTAAGACAAGAAAGTAGAAATTTAGTTCAATCATTGCACACATTCCGGTTCAAAATGACCAACTAGATACTTGACCGCGATGGATGTGTTTGGAGGCGGAATGTTTGCGTGTAAATCCTAAAACCAATAATGTCCTTTGCAATTGACTGTTATGCAGGTGCCTGTGAGGAGAAGCCAGAAGTTGGCTGACAAGATCACGGCTCTTCAAAAACTGGTGTCTCCATATGGTAAGGTAAGCCACCATTAGAAATTCAGGTCCACTGCACTAATTTGCCACTAAGGATTTTACTGGACAACCTTCTTTTGCATTATGTATACCTTCAATTGCAGCATTTATCATGCTTCTTAGATACTTGATTCCCAATCCTGACATGGAGTTGAATTTAACTGCAGACTGATACTGCCTCGGTGCTTCACGAGGCTTCAGTGTTTATCAAGGTTCTTCAAGATCAAATAGAGGTTTCAATCTAATCTCTAACAATTTTGCTTCCTTTGTAAAACATTTAGCATAAGTGGGGGTTAAACTGGCTACTCTCAGAGTCCCATAAAATGCAAAATCTAATGCTTTTAAGGAAGATTGCTCATCTTTTCGAAACATAATTACTTGGTAATTGAAAGGCTGTTATACATCGTTAAGGTCATCCAAACACTAATAAGGGCTAATCAGCAGGTTCTGCTAAAACATGAGAGCAGTCAACAAAGTGAAATGAGTAGCTTATCTTCAGAGCGTTCATTTCTCAACTTCTCTCGTTGCTTTTGTGCAGAATACTTTCAACAGGGTAAGAAGTACTTCTATGGACCACGAATATTCTCAATCAAAGGTATACAAACGTTTCACCTCCCAACACTAAAAGTTCTGTTAATGTTTGACATGAGCTTACCTTAAACATGAATATTGGAATTGATCCCTCTTGCTAATTGCTACTTTTAAACCCTATTTTCGTTAAACAGATCACCGGAGAGAGCCAATTTGATCTACGTAGCATGGGGTTTTGTTTGGTTCCAGTTTCACTGACTCGGAATCTCATCAGGGAGGATGCTTTCAATCCCTACTCTACGGCAAACACTAGCCTTCACAGAATACTTTGACACATTTTTAATTAGTTTCACCAGTTTTTAGTTTTACTCCCAACCATCTTGTCCTTTCCTATTTCATTTTCGAATATATCCACAGATTTCAAGTAATGAAAATCTTATCTGCAGCGGTAATGCATTGATCTTGTACTACTAACCTCCATTAGATTATTAACGACGTAATTCTGCAAAAAGACAGCAATTATTACCAGACACATAAAAGTCCGAAAGACCTTTACGATTAAGCTGTTTTGTCCTTTTATGATTATTGCATGATATTTGGAAAAGGTACAGAGAAAGCAGTCCAGTTTTTGTAAACTCCACTGTCTTTATTCCACTAGAATCATGCACTTTATCGTCAAATTATTCATAATTGTGTCATCTACGTACTTAAAGGACCTGTAAAGATACCAGCACATTTTAAGAAGGTTTACGAGTAGCATGAAAAGAGTAAATCTTATACACAATAATAACAGTCAGTCGTGTATACACTATTATTATTGAATTCATGATATGTGTGTAAAATTTGAATTGCATAGCTATCATGAATCCAACGCTCACAGTATATACACTCAGTGTAAGAAAAATTAATCCAACATAAAATGCTAGAAGCAACTTTTGTTTAAGAGGAACTCAAACATTGATTTCATGAATCGTAACCCTAGCTCCCAGTAGTTGATTTTCAAGAATAAAGAGAAAAAGGAAAGAGAACGAGTTGAGTGTTTTGTTACAAAGGTTCGTTCCCTTACCACAAAAAGGGGAAATTTTATATTGGTCCAGAATAACTATGAGTGGCAACTGTTGTAGTTACTATTCAAATTCTTGGTCCTGAGTAACCATGAGCAACCACGTCATAACTACTATTCAAATTCTCCCACCATAATTTCTTGAATCTATTTTTAAATGGATCTGTTTAATGGATGTTTATAGGATATTCGTTAAAATATATTTCAAGTGTCATGTTTTTAAAAATGTATGATTAATTAAAAAAAGTAAATAAATATAAGAGAGAATAGGTAAGATTAAATAAGAAAAGTATATAAATATAAGAAAAGGTAATAATTAGTAGTCTGTATATGTGTAGAGTAGATTAGGTGAATATTAGGTATACTAACGAGTACCCAACAAGTATCTGTTAGAAAACCCTTATAAATTGCTTCTGACTTAATAGGCTATTAAGGTGATTGAACACATTGCCCAAACAGCCCGTGATACAACATGCCCAAACAACCTATATAAACGTTAGCAGTGGTTTTATATTCTAAAGTGACTACGGAATTTGCTTATCATAAATATGTTTTTTAAAAAATAAACACGTAATCCAAGTGGATGTCCACTCAGCGACATGCCTCCAACTCTCATACTATAATGTTTTTTTTGGACATCATATTATCGACAAGATCTTTTTTTTTTCCCAAGTTTAGGTTTTCAAGTGGGTTGAACATATCAAAGCAAAATTTATTTAGGTTTGTTTGGATTGTGATTTATTTGTCAAAATATATTTGCTGACATCATCATTACAATTTCCAACACAACTTTTTATCTCACATACATCATATCACAAAAAGTGTTACAGTAAAAATATCTCTAATAATTCACAATCCAAACAAACCAAATATATTTTTAAGATCCACTTATGCCTGTCTATATCCAATGTCTCTTAAGTACTAAAAAATAAAAAAAAAAACAAATAAGTTTGCAGTAATTAGGCAGTCATCAACTTGCAATTAATACACAGTAAAATATATATATATACATATACACTATCGATGATTGAATTCGAAATTAACTGAAACTCTTTTGGTTTGTTTAATCGCTACAAGCTCAAAGAACACTTTATCAAAGGTAAAAATTAGCAGGGTAAGAAAACAAATGATTTCAAAACTATAGAGGTCCAAACTAGATATGTGAATAATTTGAGGGAAGCTTGTAGTAATTAATAGAACAGAGTCTGAATACTTTTCCTCCTGTAGTGTGGGCACATGGATGTCATTTACGCTGTGCGCCAGCCTTCCTGCCCATAACGTGGCAAAGCTTTTTACGTCAAATAATACGTGGCATCAATTTACTGGACCAAATTACTTCAACTTTCGCTGTCACCGGTCGCCTGTGATTCTGTTCTCCCATTTTAGAATTGAAAAGAAAACCCCAAAAAGTTAAAAAGCAACAGCGTATCCGAAAATTTTAGAAAAAGAGACCATATAAAATGCTATTGTAGTTGAAAGTGCCGTGCGAACTTTTAGTTATCTAATTCGTCCAATAAATTTTTTTTTTTTTTCATTTTAGTGTTTTGGCATGTCCATCCGTTGCAGTTTAATTATTATATTTAATTGGTAAATCAAATTGATTCTTTTGGCAAAAGTTTTCCAACTCTTTAACTAATAAATCTGACATAATTGCCATATTTAATTTTTCAAAATTGTGAAATATGCAACAATATATATGTTACACAACAAAAATTATACAAGACTACATGATTCAATAGTGATGACATAATTTTCGAACTACAAAATAAATTAGATGAAGCTCAATTTAGATTTACCTATGTATTACAATAATGCTTAAACTAAAATCGCATTCATTCAGATGCAATTGACTCAACTTTGAAATGATTATCTGAGCAATGCATTTGTACATCAATGGTGTATTATTTTATAATTATTTTAACAAAAATTTGCAGGGTAATCTGTATCCAACAACAAAACCTATTAATACCTGAAAAGAAAAAGGTGAATAATTGAATGTCATTTGTAGAAGTGGCAAAATGGATATATGGTTGATAAATGGTTTTAGTTAAATGGATAGTGGATCAAATTGATCCAATCCAATTAAAACCATTTAATAAATGGATCTAAATGGATGTCATTTAAATGGATAGTGTAAACCATGATCCATCCATTTATCCATTTACTCTCCCAAATCCTAAATTTAAGATCCAAATGCTTTTTTTCAAAAAATACAGATCCCCAAAGTTCTATTGTTAAATCACCTAAAACCTTTTGGTAATAACAAATGCTTGTACTACTACTCTATTTCAGTTCTTCATAAAATTAGTTTAGTTCCAAGAAAATTTAACTGCTGTGGTCAATTTAACCTTTCGTCATTACTTTAAATATCATTTTGTAAAGTAATGAACAATTAAGAACTTGGTTATATTTTTATAACTTTTGAATGAATTGAATACGGCTTTACAGTGAAAAGAAGTTTACGTTTCCAATTTTTTGCACTCCTGTTCAAGAGTGATGTCTTGAATAAAAGTGGAGTTCTAATAAAAAATCTTATGTTATTTGACAAGTAAAATATTTTCATTACATGTGCACGTAGTACCTAAAAATGTATGAAACTCCTTATTATACCATTGATATACAAGTTACCTTATATTACTTAGTAAATTAGGTGTCTTTTTTTTTTTTTTGATAGTTGGATTGGGTGATAAGGAGAGAGGGATTGCAAGTATGAGAATTTGGAAAAAAAAAAAAGTGTCATTTACATATCTTAACCAATGTTGTGGGGACACTCGTTAGAAAAATTCTTTTTATAAATAAAAGAATTAAAAAAATAAAAATTATTTTGACACTGCATGATGCATTCTCGCTTTTTTTTACTTAAGAATATAAATGTTTGCAATCATTACTACATGAGAGTTTAATTTAAAAAAAAACAAGAGTAGAGATTAAATTATAGGCCCTGTTTGGAAGCTTGGTTTTTTACCAAGTTTGTATAAAACTAGTTTTTTAACAACTTTTGCTACAGGAACCCCAAAAAACTTATCAAAAGTTTTTAACCTACACACTTAAAATATCCAAAACATAAAAAAAAAAAATTCCCTTCCCCTTTTCTTCTTCTTCCTCCCCCACCACCACCTCCATTGCCGGCTCCGTCACCAATTTCCGGTGCCGATGCCGGTGCCGGACAAGAATTTTTTTCCCCTATTTTTTTCCCTCTCCCCCTCTTCCTCCCCTGCCATCATCCTCTTGTCTTTTTTTTTTTTTCTCTCTACGTCCGGCGCAGAGGAGGGCGGCGAGGAGAGCAGAGGGAGGAAGAGGTGGCGGGGGAAAGGGGGAAGAGGCGGCGGGGGAAAGGGGGAAGGGGGAGACGGGGGTGGCAAGGGGGGCAGAGAGGAGCGGCGGAATGGGCTGGCGAGGGGGAGGGGGAAGGGGCAGAGAGGGCGGCACAGATGGGGGCGGCAAGGGAGAGGGAGAAGGGCAGACGGGGGTGGCGAGGGGGGGCAGACGGGGGCGGCGGAAGGGGCGCAGGGGGAAGGGGCAGAGGGTGGGAGGGAGGAGGGGGAAGGCGGGGCAGAGGGGGGCGGCGCAGATGGGGGCAGCAAGGGAGAGGGGGAAGGCGGGGCAGAGGGGGGTGGCTGGGGGAGGGGGAAGGCGGGGCAGCCGGGAGGTGGAGTTGCTGCTGGGGGTGCGCAGGTGACGGGGAAGAAGAAGAAGAAGAAGAAGAAGAAGAAGAAAAAGAGAGGAAAGAAAAGAAGGAAAGAAAGAAAAAGAAAAAGGAAAGAAAAGAAAGGGAAAAAAAAAAAAAAAAAAAAAGGAAAAAAAAAAAAAAAAAAAGAAAAAAAAAAGGAAAGGAAAAAAAAAGAAAAAAAAAAGTTTTTCACCTTACAAAATTTTCTACAAAATTTTTTCAAAAACTTCTACAGTACACTACAGTAAAGTTTTAGACAAACTCCCAAAAAACTCAGGTTCCAAACAGGCCCATAATTTTGAAAAGGATGGAAGAAGTCTAGGAACTAGAAGCAAACAAAATGCAATTAATGTTATTGGCAACTTGGCATGTGAGGAAGTTATGAAGGAAAGAATAGGTGGTCCCACAAAATTATTTTGACATATGAGGAAGTTATGAAGAAAAGAATAGATAGTAGGGGTGGGCGCGGGTCGGGTACCCGCCCCATTCACCATTTGGCTGACCCGACCCGCACCTTGCGGGTCAGCCATTTTCTGACCCTTACCCGCCCCGCATATCAGCGGGTACCCTATAACGGGTACCCACTGAGATAGGGTCGGATCAGCGGATACTCGCCCCGCCCCGTTTATCATTTAATTTTTTTAAAAAAATGATTTTTATACCAATTTAATTTTATATTTTACACATTCATCTAAAATTTAATAATTTTTTTCTAAAAAAAGGTTTCCCACCAAGAA